TAGATTTTCGTGTAATGTGCTCATGAGTGCAAATATTATTGCATTTTTTCTCATCCGATCAACACGAAGCGAAAAGGATGGCAAAAAAGAAAAACATTGAAAGAACGAAATACACGTGATGACCAGCCCACTAATGAAAAAACTGTCTACTTCATGAAAATGTCATGCTTCATTAATTGGCGTAAATATACGTAAATTGAAAAAAGAATCAAGTAATGTCGTCAACTATAAATAAGTAACAAACAGATTGTGAGCCACAAAACAAAAAATTCGCACACGCCAGTGCCATTTGTTACGTGAGTATATTTGATTTCCAACATTAGTAGACAAGCAATGAAATTAAAATTGAATATCAAACATAGCTATAAAGAACAAAAAAATGACGGGACAGAGACAAGAGATATTTTTATCACCAGAAAGTAATGCTAAGAAAGCTTAGATTGAGAATATTTAGCATATGCCATCGATGATTTTCGTTGAAATATCTCTTACACGCAAAATAGTCCGACCGTAAACCTGCGTCAAACATAATGACTTTTACAATGCTTATATTTCATCTAGAATATTATTGGTGAAAGATAAAAGTTTTATTCTTAGGAACCTAACATCGCAGTATATTCAAAAGCTTTCAACAGATTTTTTTGATTATTTACGAGCATCGAAAAAACGACCTGAATCTCGATGAACTCAGTCAAAACCTAAGAATTAGACACTAAACGAAAGGATCTTTATTTACAGAATGAATGAAGCTTTACGGCTTTTCAAATGCAACGCATCACTAAACTTTTCACTGAAGACAGATTTTTTGTTCTTCTGTGTGAGCATTGGTCAAATAGTGCAGCTATCGGTTGAATTTCCTAGCTTGATATATTTATCTTTTTTTAGAAATAATCTTTTGAAAACTAGCACAAGTAGCAAAATGCTTGAAAACATTTAAATAGATGAAATCGAGCTAATCCAACTTTATTTATTAGTCGTAACCATATTGTAAAGTTCTAGTAGGAGTGTGTAAGAATTATCTGCTATTGTAACATTTTTGTGTGTGTGGTATTTCGAGAATAAAGATTTCGCTGTTAAAATCTTGTATCTCAGCTGTATGTTACTTGCATATCGACCAATACAATGCGGCACTCTTCAACGACTGCTTTGTAAAGGATGCGACAGAGAGAAAGGTACTCTCACTATTTTCACTATGATGTCTTCGGTTTACTTTCTTTCAAGCGAGGTATGCTTTCAAAAGGTCTACCCTAGAATTTCACGGTAGACGTGTATCAAAAGCTTTTCTGAAGAAATCTATAGACTGAAATTCAACTAGAAACTTCAACATGTCAAAAAGAGTCAACTTTTCAATTCGTTTCGAAAATAAACTTCACAATATCTTTTACAATAATAGAAACAAGGAAACACAGATCAACATATAAGTGAGTATTTTTAAAATAATCCTTTTTTGTTTGGCAGCTTGGAATTCCATCAAATAAAAAAATTCAGATTGAAAATTTGCTTCTCAATAATATCATGTTCAATAGCTAGAATCGGGCATTTTTCTCACTGCATAAGAGAAAACAGAATTAGATTATATATTGTTTCTTCGCCAAATACAATTGTCCTTTTCCATCAAATCCAAAAGCAACTCGCACTCAAAAAGCAACATTCGGGATTAGTGATGCTTCTTTTCCTAGGATTTCAAAAAATCTAAGTTAGAAACAGCTTAAATAGAGAAAACTCAAAAAAAAAACAATTACTGATATACATCGTAAGGATGAGCAGGAAAATATTCAAAGGATCATCAATCACTTGAGTTTTGAGAGAGGTACACAATCTTTTGTATTATTTTATTTTTTAATTGTTGAAAGATCATAGAAAAAGTTTGGAGTAAATGGTTTATCAGCTTGGGGAATTAGTTTTTATTGACATGTTTAAGATTCCAGGCGCATTTTAATGCATAACTTCCTCCAGAAGCGCTTCTGATATACGAACTGTGCAAAATTGAATGCTGGATCTTTTGCAGAAAAATACTTTAGTTTTAAAGGTTGAAAACCAGAGGATTTATAAAGAAAATGCTGAGACCACCGTTCTTTCTGTTGCATCCATTAGTTCAATTTGAAAAGTATATAACAGGGTTCAGAAAGCCTTCTGAGTAAAACATTTTCACGACTAAAGCAGGTAGATTCGCCGTATTCAAATTAGTCATCGCACATGTTTCAATTATATGGTAGAGCGTTGAAAGTTCTACCGATTATGATTCGGAACCATTCAACTCTTCACTTCTGATCTGCACCTATCTATGGATGTGATCATTGGTAGAATTATCATTGAAAAGAACCGTTATGTTCGATTCAAAACTAATTTCATATATACGTAGTAGAAAGCTTCACGAACTATCGATTGGCTAACAAAGCTTTTCTGAAGCTTTTAAAAGTTGATAGATGTAAAATAAAAATTTGAAAATTTTTGGTTGTTGAATTTCTTTCAAATTTTTACGCCAATGACTTCAAATTCCTTTTTTTTTCTATGAAATGTTTAGAACTGATGTTTCTAGGACAGGGGCTGATTAATCATGCACAACATTTTGAGAATTTTGAGTTAGTCATTAGTAAATGAACACTCGTAGTACTGGAATGTCCATAAGCGTAAATATTAGGAGAATGAACATGAAGATGGCCCTTTTTTCTGTGAACGAAGCTGATCAATATATAGACATACAAATGATTGCTTTTGGAAAGTACGACAGTGTTTTTGAAAAGTAAGTTCATGCTCATTTCCTGTTGATACCGAGAGTTCGACGCTAACGATTCCTACCTGTAGGCAACAAAGAAGACAAAAAAGATCTTAAAGAAATGATAATTGCTATGAGCCGTATGATGCTCGTTACATTGGTTATAAATGTTGTGCATTTTTTTATTGTTGCCTGAAGAAGAACTTGTTAGTCTCGAGAATTAAAAACAAAGAATTCAAGTGGATTCTTGATTAGAAAAAAATATCCATCAGAGCAGTATTATTCTATTCACACGAATGTGTTTAATACAATCTGACGTCTGTTCACCTGGTTTTTGCCCTTCATATTTAAAGCGTTTTTGTTTCAATAACACGCCTTACAATAATGATATTCATTTTGAAAATAAAAAAAAAATAAAATAGGTTTTGAGTTAGACACTACAGAAGTTGATCGATATGTAATTGACTCCTATAATACTAACCGAACACACAGTTTGGGTCGCTTTTCTGTCAAGATTTTGGAAGAGTTGGTTCAGTTTGATCGAAAACGGCTCTTCAACATTTCAATAGACACTAAAGGATACAAATGTATTCGGTCCATTCTGAAAAAAAAAGGTACCATACGGAACCAAAAATGATTTCGTCTTGGCTACGAAACTTGAGAAAGTTTCGGATACGGGTACGAAGCTTAAAAGAGGTTTTGATTTCGTTGCAAAAATTATTCCGTACGGTATGTTGTTTTTTTTCACAGCATGAGAATTTATCGACAAAGAATAGAATGTAGTTCTACTTTGTTTGCCTTTCTTATGACATCCTCTAGTACTCATTTCGTCTTGGGCGATCTCCTATTTTTCTTTTGTCCGTTTTTGTACTAATCAGCTGTGTTATGCTATAGTGAACGAGTTTTCACCAAAAACACTTGTGTTCTCAAACTCCAAGGATGATATTTTCAAAGAGTGATTACATCTCTTGGTTTTGTTAAGAATTGGTCTGCATGAGCATTCGTTATTTATAAATGATTGCTACTTTTTTTGTACCCATGTGTTTCGGTTGTTTTTTTGTCCTCTGATAAACATCTAAAACGATAGACTAGGTGAAATTGGCATAGCCATTAAAAGAGTATTTGAATTTATTGCGATATGATAAGGTTATAGCTTGAAGAAGCAGTTTATTTTCAAATATAGCTCGAGTTCTGTTGGTCGGTTATTAAGCTCTACTGGTCCTATACGACTTAAGCTGTAAAATATTGGATCAGTTTCAATTGGAAAAGTTTTCAATCATGCAGAGCTTTATTGTATTTACGCTAGTCATCTTGATATTATCTCATATTTCAAGATTTTTCTGCTTCTCGATTTGAATTGACTGCACTGAATGTGCATGTGGTTGCTCTCGTCACTCACAACCCATCGATCCACACTCTTATCAACAATTGAAGAACATTGATTCATTCATTCTTATAGTATTTAAACTTCACAACTACATATAACATGGACAAGAAGATGTCGTCCGCAGGCAGCAGCCCTAGTACTGATGGAGACAATATCACGAAGACATCAGTGACGTCAAAACAAGCCACTACTACATCTACTACCACTGCTACAGCTTCGTCGTCATCCTTTCGAACACGACCGATACGAATTATACAAAATTTTCTTCTGGTCTGGCTTGATGTCAAAGTCAACGAGAGCAAGGAAGATTTTCGACATTCTCTCAGACAACTTCGAGATATTGTTAATACAGTAGAATTATTTACTGATGCTGATCAATGTATCGAATATTTGAAAACTATCAATGATGAAAAAATCTTTTTAATCGTCTCTGGAAGACTCGGCAAAAAGACTGTGCCGCTCATACATGATATCGCTCAGCTTGATAGCATCTTCGTTCTCTGCAAAAACAAAGATCGACACAAAGAATGGGCAAAAAGTTGGTCGAAAATTCGGCATTTGTCAACCTCAATTAAGTCGATATGCAACCGGTTAAAAAACGTAACTCGCGAATGTGATCATAACAAAATACCTATGAGCTTCATTCCAAAGCGGATAATGATAGAAGCAGCATCGGGTCAACGAAATATCGACCAATTAGAACCGTCTTACATGTATTCAGTGTTATTTAAAGAAATAGTATTGGAGATCGATGAAGACGAGATGAAATCCGTAAACGATCTAGTCGTCTATTGCCGTCAACAACAGGTATCCGAGTCTCAATTGGCATATTTTCAGCGTGAATATCATCGGAAATCGCCAATCTGGTGGTATACATGTGAAATTTTCCTATATGGGATGCTCAACCGTGCTCTACGTTCACTCGACATGGAGGCGATGATTAAAATGGGCTTTTTTATCCGCAATCTTCATCGACAACTGGAACAAATGCACAAAGAACAATCAGGTGCATATATGAAGACGTTTATCGTTTATCGTGGTCAAGGACTCACTCAGCAAGACTTTGATCATCTAGTCGATACAAAAGGTGGACTGCTCTCATTTAACAATTTCTTGTCGACTAGTACTGAGCAACAAGTAGCTATGGAATTTGTTGAACGTGTAATGCACAATAATAACGATAGAGTGGGTGTTCTTTTTATCATGACAATTGATCCAAGTAAAGTTTCACCGTCGAGTACTCCGTTCGCACTAATCGACGACCACAGTGCTATAAAAAGTGAAAAAGAAATTCTCTTCTCAATGCACACTGTCTTTCGTGTCGCTGAAGTGACACAAGCAGTCAGCAATAGTAATCTCTGGCAAATACAATTATCACTCACAGATGAAAGTGATCGACAACTAGCTGCTCTCACCGATCGTATACGAGAAGAAATTGATGGCACTGGATGGTATAGAATTGGTCAGCTAATGCTTAAAGTGGGCCACTTCAATCAAGCTGAAGAACTCTACAATGAATTACTCAAAAATGCTTCCAGCGACAACGAGAGAGCACATATATATCATATGCTTGGAGTGACGAAAAATGGCCAAGGGCAATACAAAGAAGCAAGTTCATTTTATGAAAAAGTACTCGAAATCAGCCGAATTACTCTACCAGAAGATGATCCGACATTGGGAAATACCTACAATAACATCGGTCTTGCGTATGCCAACATGGGTGACTACTCAAAAGCACGCGAGTATTACGAAAAATCACACAAAATACTCGAAAAAGCTCTACCTCCGAATCATCCTGATTTGGGTGGTTCCTACAGCAGCCTCGGTGCAATGTATAACGCTATGCATGACTACCCAAGAGCATTTGAGTTTTTCGAAAAAGCATATCATATAGCTAAAAAAACTCTGCCTTCCAATCATCCTGATTTGGCTATTTGCTACAATAACATCGGTCAAGTGTGTAACGCCATGGGTCACTATTTGAAAGCACTGGAATTTTTTGAAGAAGCACATGAAATACTCGTAAAAGCTCTCCCTCCGAATCATCCCGATTTAGGTGGTTCCTACGAAAGCATAGGAGGAGTGTATGACACCATCGGCGATTATCCGAAAGCACTTCAGTTTTTCAAAAAAGCACATGAAGTACTCGAAAAAGCTCTCCCTCCGAATCATCCCGATTTAGGTGGTTCCTACAACAATATCGGTGGAATCTATGAAGTCATCGGTGACTATCCGAAAGCACTTCAATTTTTCGAAAAAGCACACACAATACTTGAAAAAGCTTTGCCTCCGATTCATATTGATTTGCGTGGTTCTTACAACAGTATTGGTAGAGTATATAACGCCATGGGTGACTATTCCAAGGCACTTGAATATTTCGAAAAAGATCTGAAAATTACAAAAATAACTCTACCTTCGAATCATCCCGATTTGGGTGATTCTTACAACAACATCGGTGAAGTATATAACGCTATGCATGACTACCCGAAAGCACTTAAATTTTTCGGAAAAGCACGTAAAAAAACTAAAAAAGCTCGGCCTCCGAATCATCCTGATTTGGTTACTCGCTACCAAAATCTTGGTCAAGTGTGTAACACCATCGGTGACTACTCGAAAGCACTTCAGTTTTTCGAAAAAGCACACAAGATACTCGAGAAAGCTCTACCTCAGAATGATCTCGATCTGGGTCATTCCTGCAACAACATCGCTGAAATCTATAAGGCCATGCGTGACTATCCTAAAGCGCTTGAATTTTACGAAAAAGCACATCAAATACTCGAAAAAGCTCTCCCTCCGAATCATCTTGATTTAGGTGATTCCTACAACAGGATTGGTGGAGTGTTTAAAGCCATGGGTGACTATCCAAAAGCACTTCAGATTTTTCAAAAAGCATATCAAATAGCTGAAAAAGCTCTGCCTACGAATCATCCTGATCTCAGTGGTTCTTACAACAACATCGGTAGAGTGTATAACGCCATGGGTAACTATTCTAAAGCACTTGAATATTTCGAAAAAGATCTGGAAATCACAAGAAAAACTCTACCTTCGAATCATCCTGATTTGGGTGATTCCTACAATAGCATTGGTGTAGTATATAACGCCATGGGTGACTACTCAAAAGCACTTCAGTTTTTCAAACAAGCACGTAAAATATCTAAAAAAGCTATGCCTTCGAGTTATTCTGATTTGGCTACTTGCTATAACAATATGGGTCAAGTGTATAATGTCATGGGCGATTTCTTAAAAGCACTTTGGTTTTTCGAAAAAGCACACAAAACACTGGAAAAAGCTCTACCTCCGAATCATCCCGATTTAAGCGGCTCTTATAACAGCATCGGTGCAGTGTATAACGCCATGGGTAACTACCCAAAAGCACTTGAGCTTTTTGGACAAGCTTGTAAAATAGCTGAAAAAGCTCTGCCTCCGAATCATCCTGATTTGGTGATTTGTTACAACAACATGGGTCAAGTGTATGACGACATGGGTGACTACGCAAAAGCATCTGAGTTTTTCGAAAAAGCACGTAAAACAACTGAAAATACTCTGCCTCCGAATCATTCAAGGAGAACAAACTGATCTCATGATTTCACATAATTTCGGCTACTTCATCTAATTTCGTATGACTTCAGCTGATTGTAAGGGACTTCAAGTGATTTTGAGTAATTTCTAATAGTAATCAAAACATTCGTTTTTCGTCACATCATTGTAAAATGCTTTTCTGATCTAGTGCAATTAGCGTTAATAGAGAAACATTATGAGAGTATATCAAATTCACTGAACGAAGTCATGACAAAGCAACGTTTTGTCGGCGCCAGAATTAAATAGGGGTGGGTGTAGAACAAATATCTCGAGAACGGCAGTAGCTAGCGACCTGCGGCTTTTACCAACTGAAAGAGTAGAAGTTGAGATGTCTTTTTCTTCGATAATGTATAAGACAAAATTTTTTTAAAAGTAATCATCTTCGAAAAACATGCAACAGAATGCATGAAAGTGACCTTTCATCTAGATGAAATTTTGATTTTGCCCTGTGATTTAGACAGAGGGACTTGAGATCTATAGTTTAAGATACAATGCAAATGGTTCTCCTATTGCATTCTAACATTGAGCAAATGGAATCATGTATTTACATGCGAAAATAAGAGGGAATTTTACTGATTTTTTTTACTAATTTTTCACACTTTTTCTTACAATAGCGTGAATTTTCGATAAAAATGTAATGAAAAGTAAAAAAGCGCATTGTATCTTAAACTATAGATCTCAAGTCCCTCTGTCTAAATCAAAGGGCAAAATCAAAATTTCATCTAGATGAAAGGTCACATTCATGCATTCTTTTGCATGTTTTTCGAAGATGATTACTTTTCAAAGGATTTTATCTTATACATTATCGAAGTAAAAGACGTCCCAACTTCTACTCTTTCAGTTGGTGAAAGCCGCAGGTCGCTAGCTACTGCCGTTCTCGAGATATTCGTTCTACGCCCGCCCCTATTTAATTCTGGCGCCGACAATAGTTCTCTTGCCTTTTGAATTACAAAAAGTTCCAGATCACTATCATAAATTGCTTCTTTCTTAATTGCTCTTTTGACATAAAATTCATTCCACATCAATTCTTTGATTTCCTTTACTTTTTCTAGTCTTGTGCCGTTTGCATTAATATATTCTCTAAATCTTGTAATATAATGCATGTATTTTGACTTTTCGAAACCTTTACTTAATAGATGCAAATTTATATGTTGGGTGTGGGTGTGGGGTGTCGGTGGTTGTGGGTGTGGATGTGAGTGTAGATGCTGTTTACTTACACTGCACCCACACCCATAACAGTGAATTTATCAGTATTAACTCATTAGAATAAGTTTGTTATAATAACATATATTACACTGATTTGTTTACAATGCATTTTTCAGAATGAATTTATTATAATGAATTATATTGCAATCAGTTTATTGTAATGATTTATATTACAATGAATTTATTATAATGTCTTTATTATAATGAATTATATTACAACGAATTTATTATAATGAACTACATTAGAATGTGTTTATTACAGGGAATTTATTGTGATGAATTTATTATAATGAATTTGTTACAATGAATTTATTACAGTAAGTTTATTATAATGAATTGTGTTAGAATGAGATTTTTACAATGAATTTGTTACAATGAAATTATTGCCATGAATTTATTAGATTGAGTTTATAAGAATGATTTTATTATAATGAATTATATTACAATGAATATATTAGAATGGGTTTATTACAATGAATTATATTACGATGAGTTATATTACATTGAGTTTATTATAGTGAACAATATTATAGTGAGATTTTTAGAATGAATTTGTTATAAAGAATTGTATTACCTTGTGTTTATCATAATGGATGTATTAAAATGAATTTATTACATTGACTTTAATATAATGAATTATATTATTTATATTTCAATAGTTAATAAGGTATGTTGTTGCTTCTATTTTTTTGTTAGGGAGAAAAATCGAGAAATAGTGGAATAGAAACCAAAATTGTTTTTTTTTTCGTGGGAAGGTTTATCTTATTATTTTTCTTTCCAACATAGCCTGTCAGGTGGCTTTGTAACTTGACCCAGGAAGATTCCTTTGTGTCTGTGATGGCGAAAGCAGTGTTGTACTCGGGAAGGCCTTCTGTTCGTAGGTCCCTGTCGTCATTATGTACGATATACCTACGTTCATGCCCTACCAGTCCGGTGTGGTCCGCTCTGCGTGTACCCATGGCAGGCGTACAGGGGTCTTCCTGGTCGCGCGCGCGTACGCGAGAATGAGCCGAGAAAAGCCGAAAAAGAAAGTGAATAGCAATTCAATTTATTGAGCAAAGAAGAAAAAAAACAATTACATTTTCTTTCGAATTTTTTCAAATGTTTCTTTATACTCGACGAGATGTGGATGAGTTGAAGGTAATTTTTCTTGAGCAATTTCTATCGCTTGTTGAATATTTTTCATTGCGATACTATATTGTCGAGTAGATAAATACAATTTTGACAAATTGTGATATACAATAGCTAAATCAGGATGAATTTTTGATAATTTCTTCTCACGTATTTTTAATCCTTTTTCAAAATATGTCAATGCTCTTGAATAGTCTTTCATTTTTCGATATGTTTCGCCTAAATTTATATATGTCGTTGCACACTCGAGAGGATTACATTGAACATTTTCTTGAATATTTAAAGCTTTTCTATGAAATGAAAGTGCGTTTTCATAATCACCCATTAAACGATGAACATCACCAATATTACTGTATGTGACAGCCCGACCGGGATGTCTTTCTGGTAATGTTCGTTGAGCTATTGTAAGGCATTTTTGAAAGTAATCGAGTGACTTTGAATAATCTTTCATACTGCGATAAACTTTTCCAAACCAGCTGTATGTTGAAGCAAAAGCTGGATTACCTTCTTCAAAAGCTTCTTGCTGAATTTGATAAGCATTTTAAAGGACTTTAAGAGCTGTTGTGTAATCACCCATTTTTTCGTAACATGCTGCAAAATTCAAGTGATTAACAACCAAATCGGGATGATTCGAAGGCAGATTTTCGTAGATTTTATGTGATTTTTCGTAAAATTCAAGTGCTTTCGAGTAGTCACCCATGTTGCTGTATACTCCACCGATGTTGTCGTAGGAAATAGCCAGATCAGGATGATTCGAAGGCAGAGCTTTTTCGAAAATTTGATGTGCTTTTTCGTAAAATTCCAGTGCTTTCGAGTAGTCACCCATGTTGCTGTATACACTAGACCGATGTTGTCGTAGGACTTTGCCAAATCGGGATGATTCGAAGGCAGAGCTTTTTCATTGATTTGATGGGATTTTTCGTAAAATTGAAGTGCTTTCGAGTAGTCACCCATGGCATTATACACTCCACCAATGTTGTCGTACGAAATAGCCAAATCGGGATGATTCGAAGGCAGAGCTTTTTTTCTTATTTCAAGTGATTTTTCGTAAAAGTCAAGTGCTTTCGAGTAGTCACCCATGTTGCTGTACACTTGACCGATGTTGCTGTACGAAGTAGCCAAATCAGGATGATTCGGAGGCAGAGCTTTTTCGTCGATTTTATGTGATTTTTCGTAAAATTCAAGTGCTTTCGAGTAGACACCCATGCTGTTATACACTAGAGCAACATCATTGTACGTAGCAGCTAATGAAGGATGATCTTCGGTGAGAATTTTCTCGTTGATTTTCAGAGATTGTTCGTAAAATGCAACTGCTCGTTCGTATTGTCCTTGGTTCGAGTTCACCCATCCTAGTTGGTAATAAATATGTGCTGTGGCACTGTCGTTGATCGTCTGTTGTAGGAGCACTGTATATAGTTCTTCAGCCTTGTCGAATTGACCTATTTTGAGTAACAATTTATCCATTCGATACCATCCGGTGTCGCTGACCTCTTTACGTATATAGTCAGTTAATTTTCGAAGTTGGGGATCATTATCCGACGTAAGTTTTAGATCCACCTGATAAAGTGCACGATTGTTGTCAATTTTTTGAACTTCTCCAATGCAAAACACAGTGTGCATGGAGAAAATAATTTCATCTTCCTTCTTGAAATAACTTTCTTCACGAATGGAGGCGAATGGAGTTGATGACACGTTAGGATCGATTGTTATGTGGAATAGTATTCCAACCATATCATTTGTGCTTAAGGCTTTCTTGGCAAAATTGAGAGAGACTTTTCGATTTGTGCTTGTTGATAAGAAGTTATTAAAAGAAAAAAGCCCACCCATATTTTTAGCAAGCTTTTCAAAATCTGCTTTCGATAGACCTTGTTCTCGAAAGACTGTAAAAATCTTGCCACGATAGTCACTGACCTACTTCTTGTACAGAGCTTCGATTTGTCGATGCACAGCACATAAAAAGA